AGCGGGGAAGCAGCTTTTGCAGGGAGACTGTATCCAAGGCCTTGAGGCTCTGCCTGCCTCCTCCCCCAGCAGGAACAGCAGCACAGCAAGCAGCTGGGAGCAGAAAGGCTTTTCCACGGTCACCTCCGGGCTGGTGACGGTGAAAGCTTGCGGGCAGCAGCAGTCCTGGGCAGAGGGAGACTGCCAGGGCACCGCTAAGGGCAGCGCTGCGGCGCGCTCCACACCTGGAATAAGCCAGTGCTGAGACAGCTCATCAGCTTTTATTTTAAGCCTCCCACTCATCCTGGAGCCTCGCATTTTGCAGCTTCACTGCCAGCCAGCAGCATTCCCGCACCCCTCGTTTCCAGCCCAGTTCTCAAGCTCCAGAAAAAAACCACTTCTCTGTCCCTACCCACAAGTTGATTGTCTCTGCGTAAGGGGGGCTCTGGCCATCGCAAGCCTGTCCTGCATGCCGGCAGGCCGCGCGAGCTCAGCCCGCCACCACCAGCCGCAGCGCAAAGCATTACCAGGACCCACCCGCTCCTCTCCTGCGGCATCACACAGGACACAGGCTGGGGAGGGCCTGGATCTGGTTTGGGGTTACGCTTTATACGGGGATTGTGGATGCACCCAGGGGATCCTTCCTCTGAGGGGGTCAGTTCCATCTCCTCGTGGGACCCCCCAAAAGCTGTGTGGGCAAGAGCTTTCTCCGCTGACCCAGGCTGGCTGCTCTCAGAGGCAGCTCCTCACAAACACAGCCCCATTTCTCACAGCATGTGCCGCTGGAAGGATCACCCTCTCCCCCCAATGATCCAGCAGGTCATAGACAGCAGCCTTCCACCAAGCCTGGGGCAGGACCTCAGCACAAACTAGGGTACACTTCAGTTACCAACTGGAGTTAATTGCTGCAGCTTTAAGACAACCTCGAGTGGAAGTGCCAGTCCCATGTTGGGAGCCAGATCTCAGCTACTTGAGGGAGCAGCCTGAGCTCTGCATGAAGCCACGGGAGGCTTTAAGGTCATGCTCTAGGACCTCAGAGTGTGAGCATGGGGCAACTTGGTGGGCAAGACTTATCCGTGTTCATACAGGAACTAAAAAATTTGCTTGAAGTCTCACACTTCCATTCCCACCCCCCCCAGCATCATCCCCCCCAAAGCCAACTCAGTGGTTAAGCACTGCAGCAACACAGGCATATCCAAAACCCAGCCCTCAGGCACCAAGCCTTGACCAGAAAAGCCCAAAAGCTGTCCAAGGACAGTGATGAGCAGCACACAGCTTGGCTCCACCAAACTGACAGTGTTACTGGCTGGCAGCACACAGCAGACTCAACGTGCTGCAGCCTGAGCCTAGAAATCTGGACCTCACACTCAAGCTGTAGTGTTTTTCCACACAAACCAGTAACCTCAGTGCTGTCCCCTACTCCAAAGGCCACCAGGGATGTCCAGGGGACACTTGTGACATGTTTCAGCTCCTGTCATGAGTGGCAAGCGCCCAATGCCCCTTTGGGAGGCTGTCTCTGCAGGGCACAGGGACAGAGCTGCTCTGCAGGTTACTACAGGGGCTGTGCTCGTCACCTGCCCCTCAAACACACAGCTCTGCCTGGGAGGTGGGGTCTCAGAGGCTTCTGCTTCCCACCTGCAACAGCACGGTAGGTCTACCCAACCACAGTCACAGTTCTGGGCAGCAGCCTGCTGCCTGCAGCCGTTTGGGGTTTCAGCCCCCTCAGAGGAGGGGAGGGCCATCCAGGAGTCACACCCAACATCCCCAGCACCTCGCTGGCCCTAGAGAAGTTAATGCCCTGAGCAGAGATGGACATGCCATCCCACAGCAGGCCTGGTCAGGAGACTGGGGAAGCCTCCCCACCTGTGCTACCAGCTGCCTTTGGTTCCTCTTCAGGGCTTCAAACAGGACAGGGGGGGACAGGACACTGTCCACAAGCCCTGTCCTGTCCCTGCTGCCTCTCCAGAAAGAAGGGACAGCAGGCAGAGGGTCGAGTTTGCCCTGACAGGCAGCAGGAGCCAGGGTAAGACCCACAGCATGTCTGCTCTGGGGATGGCAGTATACAACCACTATTACCAGCACCGAACAAGGTTAGAAAACCCTTCAGCAATGCCTGAGACTTGTTATAAACCCTCAAGTTGCTCTGGAATGATCTAGCACCTTCCAGTTCCCAGGTGCATTGGCTCTACTAGCCCCTTCCCAAGGCTTGTCTTCCCTCCCCACAGCTAGGAGGTGAGAGGCATCACCCAGCACCCTAGGCAGCCTTCCTAATTGAGGGACCAGGCAAAGGGCGCTGCTGCAGCCTCCTCAGAGCATGCTGTAGGTGAACACAGTCCCGGCAGGATCATTGCTTACCGATGGGATACTTGTGCTTGTCCGTGTCAATGCCAGCATAGACCACCCCTCCGAACAGATCGTACATGACAGCTGCCAGGGCCTCCGCATTCAGCATCCCATGCAGAGCCCCCACAAACACAGTCTTGCTGGGATCCAGCCGCTGCGATGGACTGCGCACAAAGTTGCTGTCTGCCAGCACCCAGGGGATCACCTGCACCTGAAACCAAACACGAGCAGGGTGGTCAGCCAAGGACCTGCAAAGCCACATGCTCTGACACTCTGCCAGGCTCTCTGCTGCTAGCAGAGGCCATCCCAGACCCTCAGACTTTATCTCCCCAACTTGCAAATGCCCTTCAATATTGCTGCTCAGGGTCCATGTCCAGGGCACTGCGGCTCTGAAGCTCCAGCCTTGCTCCAGACACCCCACAAGGCCTGTTCAATGGAACAAAAACAACTGCCACACTGCTCTGCTTCCAGCCAAACTGGAATCCAAAATACCAGTCCGTCAGGGCTGGCAGCCAGGACACAAGCCATGCATGAATGGGTTTTACCTACTGCCTGCACCTATGTTTACAGCCCAGTCTGATGCCTCCTTGCACAGAAGGCTGTTGTTGGAGGAGATCAATGAAACTACCCACCCACTGCCAATTTCAACAGGAGCTTCCATCTGCTAGACAGCTGATACAGGGCTCCAAAGAGGAGAAACTTCTGCCAGAGCTAAATCACCAAGCATCAAAGTGCTGCCAATAGCCAGACACCGGGGGAGCTGTCTGGAGTGCAATTAGTTTGTGCCTGTGTAGGTAAGAGTCAAATCTCGATTCTTTAGCTCCGCAACTCAGAGCTCTGCCTGATACAGCTCAGGTCACCTTTCACTGGAAGGGCATCCTGAGCCTCTGGCAGCCTCAGCACCTCCACCTCCGGAGCACAGGCTGGTCAGCCGACGCCGTGCTGGGGAGCAGCTGCGGTTACAGCCGTGGATCCAAAATATCTGCCTGTGGTGAGCATGAAAGCAGTTTGTTCTGCAGGCAGCCGAGGCCTAATAAAGCTCCGAAGGGATCAAAGTCTGTCTCCACAAGCAAAGGTGTGCTGAAAGCAGCACGAAACGGTAAAATCCCTGTTTCCATGCTCCCTTCCAGATAACAGAAGCTGCTCAGCTTCATGAAGTCAGGGTCTCTCAGATTCAGGAGCTCCAGGAGAGCTTGACACATGCAGTTACAGAAGAAACACCTATCTAACCTTCCTCCTCGCCTGCATCTGGCCCTACCGCAGGAACACACCAGCAAAAGATGGCCAAGAGCCAGTTTTTTGCTGCCCTGCTTTCCCGGACAGGGTAACAGTGTGCACCCCCTTGTCTCCAGGGATCTCCTCAGCATCCCATCTGTAGGCCCACTCTCATGGGTCTGCTCACCTCTTTGCAGCGCATCCTGCGGCTGGACATCTTGAAGTAGTATTCACTGAGCCCGTCAGGACTCAGCAGGTCCTGGGAGCATGCCTGGAGCAGAGCACGCACGGATTTCTCCGACTCAAACACCAGGTAGACATATCCTTCAGAGGTGAAGGGAAAGGAACAGCTGTTAGAGTTGTAGCAGAGGAGAAACATCATCCCAGTCTGCAGACACATCACTCAGCTGCTGCCCAACGTATCTGCACCGCATCTCCCTCCCTCTGCCCAACCCCTTCTAGTGGAGGGCAGCGATGCGCAGCACCTGCCCCAGCAGACCCCACATGAGATCCACCCGTGATGCAGAGAGCCTCGGCCGGGCTGGGAGAGCGCCCCAACTCAGCACCACACAAGTGGGCCGGCTGCCTGCGCCCAGTGCCATTTCGGTCACTGTCCCCTATGCACAAAGCCACACTAGATGTGACAAGCAGGCACCACCAGCCTGGCCACAGCGTGGTCTGCAGGAAAACAAAGACCTTGCTTCACATTTAGGGCATTTTGGCCCAGAAATACAAGTTCAGGGCTTTAAAAAAAAAAAAAAAATCACTTTCATTGGCACAATCTGCCTCGTGTTGCTCTGGTGACTGAACGAGGCCATTAGGCACCACAGAGCCTACAAGCTGGTCACTCCTTACACAACACATCAGCCCAGCTACTTCAGACAGGCTTATGCCCCAGGGGCTGCCCGGCTCACCAGTTCCCACAGCCAGACGGCTTGCTGCGGACACACGCTGGGATTCACTGTGTACGCTCCGAGCCAGGGGTGCACAGGCTCTGGGTGCTCTTGCCAGCAGCGGGGACTAACAGCTCCCACCCAGAGCCAGACAGCCCCACCGGAGCTCCAGAAGCGCCAAACAAGATTTTCCCCCCACCCCATGCTTCTGCCCAGCCCTACTAGGGACAGCGGGGACGCCGGGGTAGAGGTGACGGTGCTCTGCAACCCTGGTGCTGACCCAAGTGAGAGCGGGACATTTACCCTAGGGTGCTCTGTACCATCCAGTCACCAGCATGCAGCCGTACCATCCCAGCATCCGTGCTGTAACATAGCATGGGAAAAAAGTAACCCTACCGTGTCGCTATTACCTTTAGGCATATTACCTTTGGGAGGGCAGCGTGGGTGTTTGCCATCCTTACCAGGCCACTCTACACTCAGTGAGCCAAACACACGGAAGGTGTTGATCAGTCCAGCTACAGACAGAAGGACAGACGTCAGCATCCCCCAAAAAAGCTCCAATCTATACCCCCCCGATGTCAAAACCCAAGGCCTCAGTGCAGGGCCAGGGGCTGCTCACCTTCCGTAATGTCCCACGGGACTCCTCCCAGGAACACTTTGCAGGAGTAGACAGGGTTCTTGTAGTTTCGGGGAGGCAGCTGCCCACTCCAGGTGCAGGTTGCTTCATTCACAGCTGGGACAAGCACAAGCAACACTCAGTACAGGACTGTTGGCTTCTCACTCTGCCACTGCCCTCCAAGCAAATCCCCGTGTTC